GGGCCAGTCTTCCTCAGCAAAAAGAGGAGGATTGGCAGCAGATGTTAGCTCAGGGCTAATCTTCCTCAAAAAAAAAGGCGGGGGGAAACAAAGGGGAAAAATGATAATGGAGAAACCTGGCACACATCATCTTAACCAAGTGATCAAAGTTAATGTCACCAGTTACAGGATAATCAGCATCATGTGCTTCCTGATATGATGCACTGAGAAGAACACAACTCATTTTCTCACTTTAGCCACTCCTTGCTCCTCTTAACCTTCTCTAACCCATCTTGTCTCTGAATCAACCCAGCTATTTGCAGAGGAGTGACATGATCCGATTTACATGTTAAAAATATTGCTCTGGTAGCAAAAGGAGGATGGATGGGAAGAGAAGAGAATGGAATCCGGGATGCTTACATAGTGGGCACCAAGTCTAAGGGGACTGACACCTACTCTGTGCCCAGCTTTCTTATATAGGGATGTGCACTTTATGAGCTAGTTCAAAATACTTTTAAGTCACTTGGGTACCCCTCTCATTCCCCACTCTCCTCTCCCATCTGCTCTGCATCCCCTAGGCCTCCCCATCATTTCCTCCACTCAGGGTTCTTTCCGTCATCCCACCCCCGAGTCTCGTCTGGTTGCCTGTTGGTTCCCTTGTTGACCTCCCCACCCAGTCCTCTCTGTCATCCCCAGCTTCAGGGCATGGTAGAAGCCCTGACTCTGAAATGAGTCAGGGAGTCAGGAGGATGGGGCAAATCTGAAGTCTGTGAGCAGCCAGAGGGCTCCATGGCCCTGACCTCCCACAAGAGGCAAACTACAGCTTGGCCTTTCTTCTCTTCCCTCCTCCATACCTATCCCACTTTTGCCCAGGGTCCCATTCTGCCTACCACTCCTGCCTCACCTACCCTCTCAGTGAATACACCGCCTGTTCCCTAAGGGATGCCCAACAGGAGAGGTGCCTGTTATACCCCTTTTCCCTGTAACCCTCCCGTGCAGAGCCACTCAGCCCAGCCACCCACCTCTGATTGAGTCCAGCTAGGCTTTGCCTTGGCCTCCCAGCCCTTTCCTGTAAATGCACTCACAGCCAGGAAGGGTGCCATATTAAATCAAGAATGATGGAAACCAGTGGCCACGATTATCCAGCCAAGATGCAGCATGGGGAGCTGGTCACTGCCAGCTCCAGGTAAGGGCTTCAGAAGCTAATTGTACATGGCTTTTATTAAGAAGATGATCACTCCCCCACTCCAACTCTCCTGGGTGGCTTCTTCCTAGTGCCTCTCTGCCTACTGCCCTCCGTTTCTTCAGACTGGGTCACCTGCCCTGTCTTCTCCTCTAATGGAACCCTGTCAAAGCAGGGCTTTGACCTCAGTCCCTGTAGCCTTCCTCCCCATCTCCTCAAAAAGCCAGGAACAGTAGCAGCCTACATTTATGGAGCCCTTACCAAGTGCCATCTCCCATCCTTCTCTCTCCTCTCCCTCGAATAGAATATATACAGACCAAGTATTTTCCTTTTCTAGGTTCCTCCACTGACTAGCTTTTCACAAGCCTGGGCTCATAGCTCACACCTTAAAAAGCCATTCATTCATTCAACACGTTTTGTAATACAAACTCTGTGCTTAGCATTGGGAATAGAACATGAAGCAGTAACCTTCTACCTGGTTTAATCCCAGTGCCATGTACATTTTTATCAAAAAGTCTGATGCATTTTTAGAAGTGTTTCTGAATAAGTATTTGGGGCTCCAGACTGGGGGAGAATCAGGATGTCCTCAGATTTAAGCCATAGGTTGAATCTTTCCCAGGACCATCTAGAAAGCTCCCAAGAAACCAGCCAGATCATAGTGTAACCTTTCCCCAACACTCACCTTTTCCCTTGTCCAAGAAAACAACAGGAATACTCAGATAGCGTAAAATCATGACACTGAAGAAGACTTATAGGAAGCAGAAATGTTCCCCTGGAAGAGACTTAGGGGGGCCACAATGGTCATACCCAAATCAACATGGGGGCAGGAAAGGTCGTGTTCTGTGATGCCCCACAGATCAATAGATGGAAGGTACCTAGAGGCAGAATTCTCTGCCACGTAAGGAAAACTGACAAGCAGAGACGAGCTGCCCCAGGCAGTAGAGGCATCTCCGAGCCCGAGGGTTGGTGTTGAGACTGTGTCCTAGGGACGTACAGTTCTTAGAGGAAGGAGCCTCAGGAGCCACTTCTGGGGCAGTAGGGACATCCAGGTGCACTTGGCTCCTGTCTTCTGCTTGAACAAGAGCACTTCTTCTCTTTATCTCTGGAGCTCCATATAGACTAAATTCATTAAAGGAGTTCCAGTACCAAAAAGAAAAGGAACTGAGTGAAACAATCAGTTATCGAAATGCAGCGAAGGAGAAGGGAAGTAACTTGTAGCAAAGGCCTACCAAGGGCCAGGTACTATGCTCTCCACTTGAGTCCCTCACACTGTCACTTCTCCATACGCACTTGCCGTGTGCCAGAGACTGCCGAGGACTTTGTTTACATTGTCTGACTTAATCCTCACCAGCGTCCCACAGGGATCCTCAAGGTAGGTATGAGCACTATCCTGTGTTAAAGATAAAGGAACTAAAATTCAAGGAGGTGAATTAACTTCCCCTAGGTCAGCTAGCTAGTAAGGGGATGAGGCAAGGTTTGAATTCAGGTCTGTTTGGAGCAAAGCCTCTTCTTTCTGCCACACAGCCTGCCCCATTATGAGCCAGAAGGGGAGCCAAACTTCAGATGGGACAACTCTAAGAATTAAATGAGACACTGTATGGAAAGTGCTAAGTCCAGTGGCTGGCGAGTCACAGTAGTTTCCTCATTCAGTTGGCAACTGTGAGCCAGGCCCTGTGCTGGGTGCTGGAGCTATAGAGATGAGTAGAACATAGTCATTGTCACTAAGGACTTCACAAGTAAAGAGTGATAAACAGGCAGTTAAATAAGTGCTCTAGATAGAGGCTGGGCAGGTGTGAGCCTTACACCAGGCTCCTTAGGTAGTGTGTATTTAAGCTGAGATCAGCAGGGCACTTAGAGGTAGATGGGACTAGAGAAGACTTTTGTGGAGAGGGAGCAGTGTGAGCAAAAGCCCAGAAGCAGGAATACTCTGAGACCCATCACTTAGGGGAAGTAAGAAAATGGACCCAACAAACCCTCGGAGGCCAGCTTCCATTGCTTCAAGCTCTTTCCATGGCCTGCGTGACTGCAAGCCAGCCAGGCTGCTAGCCAGTGCTGTACCAGCCGGTATGTGCGCCTCTCACCGTGAGAGCCTTCCAGCCCAGTGGACCCGAGTGCTGAGGGGCCGGGTGGGCAGGGAAGAGAAGGAGGCGGCAGATATATGGCTGGAGTCGTCAGAGCCCGGTGATGTATGTGGCGCCTGAGGGAGCTGCACAGTGACACACTGGATTCCAACCGGCAAGCGTCGCTCCACTGGGATCGGCGCCGAATTATTGCTCCATATGAAACCCAAGGCTGATGGGAGCTTTCAGTTACAGACTGATAGCAACAGCCAAAATTGGATTGTTTGCTATTTATTTTTTGTAACTTCTGTCAAGGTCACTCCTGTAACAGGAAAACACTGCCCAAACAGCAGGTATTTTTCATCCACTCTGCCCACAAGAGCAATCTGCAGCTGCAACTTTTGTGACAGGGCCTTGCCTTGGCAGCTCACTTTCTTGAAAGCTGTCGGTGTTACAGGGGTCTTAGGAGAAAGGAGCCTCCTGAAGACCCAGGTCTCTCCGTCCCACTCCAAGACCTGCTCCTTCCCCCGTCACCAGCCTCCATCAGTGCTTTCTCATCAGACCCACGCATTCACCCCTCCCTGCCTGGTTTCCAGATAGCTCCCACCGACCCTGGAACTCCAGCTTCTTCAGGCCTCCAGTCTCCTAGAAAGCCTCCTCCAAAATGTTCCACACTTTATGTCTCCTTCCCTTCTTGGTACTCCACCACTCAGTCTAGCTGTTAATTCTCTCTTTGTATCTGTCATCAATTCATTTTTGCACACATACACCAGATGCCTCTCCTGTGCCAGCATCAGTGCTGGGAATAGCAGTGAATAAAAACAGTGCCTGTCCTCAGGGGGCTCCTAACTGATTTAGAGGATAGACTCCCAAACATGCAACAAACTGGTTTCCAAGTAGTTTGTTTTGTTTCTTCTTAGTCATAGGTACAGGGCTAGAAATAGGCACACATGCTTTGGAACCATGAGGAAAATGGTAATTCCGCCTGAGAAGTGTTTGCGTACCGGCCCTGCCACCCCTCTCCTCCCTCACAGCGTGACCAAGGTCAGGCCTCCTCCTGCCTTTTCTGAAGTGGACCAAGCCCAGGGCCAAACACATGCCTGGCACTCAGCATCAACTAGAACCTTCCAGGGGGCCGGACACCGTCCTCCTCCTTGCCCCTGCCCCACCTTTCCATCATAGCGTGCATGGAGCCAGGCACACAGCATTTGCTGAATAATTGTATTTAACTGAAATGCAGTGTCATTGAAGTGGAGGGGGTTCTCAACTCTGGTTTGCACACCAAAAAGGTTTTCAAGAGGATAAGTGGAAAGCTAAAAGAACCTGTATCATTAAGCACTTCCTGCATATCAGCCATGATGCTAGGCACATTATATATATCATCATGTTTAATCTCCAATTTACAGATGAGAAAACAGGTGCAGTAACTTGCTCCAGGTGATAAGCACATCTTGTAAGTGATAAAGCTGGGATCTGAACCCAGGTCTTCTCTCAGATTCCAGAGTCAAAGGTTAATCTACCAGCAGCACTTATTTGACTAGCAGGTGAGCCAGGACCCTTGAGCAGTGGCCATCTGAGATGAGGAGATAGGGTGAGGGCTAGGACAGGGGGGCAGTGGGAAGGACTGGGCCAGCCTCCAGTGGTCATGAGCCAGAGCTGTGCATCAGGATCCCTGGAGACCCAGACCTGTGTTTTCTTCCCCTGGGTGGGAGGATAGGATGAAACTAGGATCCTACTGGGCCCACCACTCCTGAGCCACCTTCCCTCTCTCCCCACAGTACCAGGAGAAGCAGCGCAAGCGGGAGGCTGAGGAGCGGCGTCGCTTTCCCCTGGAGCAGCGGCTGAAGGAGCACATCATTGGCCAGGAAAGTGCCATCGCCACAGTGGGTGCTGGTGAGTATGCGAGAGGCTGGCCAGTGCCATACAAGGGCAGAGTAGCTTACTGTCTGCTGCAATGAGGTGTGCACCCTGCTGTCACCAAATTGTAGAGAGGGGGCTAATAATACTACAACTTAACATTTATTGAGTCCTTTCTATGTGCCAGGCATTGTGGTATGCTCTTTGCATATGTTGTGTCATTTAGTCCTGACAGCAACCCTATGAGGTTGGTACTATTAAATCCCCATTTTACAGGTGCAGAAGCTGAGGCCCAGAGCACTTAAATAATTGCTCAAGGCTGCTTTCTTATGCTTAGAATTTAACTCTGGCTTTCATCTGGTCTACTACCCTCACCCCTCACCTTTCAGGTGGGCAAACTGAGAGCCAGAGAGGAGCAGGAGCTTGTCCCTCCCTAGTAATGGAGCAGCTGAGCCAGAATGAGAACTTCTGTCTCTCATCTCCCAGCAGTTGGCTCAATTTTAGGGAAGACATCCTGAACAATTCTTGAATTTTCTTCTCTACCCCAGAAGCTCTTATGTCCTGTACTTTGACCCCTGGGAGCCAGATGGCCCTCTGGTGTCACCCCTAATCTGACAACCCTGCTGCTCATGCAGACCCCACTGGAGAGAAGTATAAAACTAGGGTTCTGCTCAAAATGCTGGCCTCACCTTTGTTCTCTGACTCAGATGCATAACTCCCAGAGGGTGACCTCACACAGATGAGGCAAGGGCAGAGGAACCCCTGCCTCTTAGACAACCGGTGTATTCCCCAAGGCAGTGGTTCTCAAAGCATGTTCTTTGGACCAGGAGCATCAGCATCCTCTGGGACCTTGTTAGAAGTGCAGGTCTCAGGCCTTACCCCAAACCTATGGAATCAGAAACTCTGGGCGTGGGGCCCAGCAAACTGTTTTAACAGGCCCTGCAGGCAATTTTAATGCTTAGCTCAAGTTTAAAAACCTCTGCCCTGTGGTGTCTCAGTCCCATTCATGTTGCTTACCTCTTCTCTCCAAGCATCTCGTCCCAACAAATGCGGTCCACTGACTGCCAAAGACAGCACCTGGTTCTGCTCACTGATAAAAGGAGACATCAGGCTGAAATTGTGGTGCCCCTCTGGGACATTCTGGGGCAGCATTGTCAGCCCTAGAATACCAATTAGAGAAGTAATTGAAAAATGAAGGCAGCCGCCCCTGTGACACACAGAGCCCAGCCAGATCTCCATCATCCTCACACACCAGTGGGACTCATGTGGCAGCCCTGAGCCCCTCTTCAGGGGCCTGACCTCATCAACAGATAAAGGGAGCCCATAGACCAGAGCTGCCTCGCCAGCTCAAGGTCAGAGGCTGCCTGCAGACACACACAGGCGCCGAGGAAAGCTTTTTTGAACACATGAGGCCCCACTACTCCGGCCCAAACCACACGAGGCTGCCTTTCTGGGTTTGGATACAGGCATCCACTCTCAGCCACTGCCTTGGAGGTGGCAACAACTTCTTTGCCAAGGCTGTGTCTCAGGACCCTCTCAGGTCTCAGAGACCCTGGGAGCTCTCAGGGGTTGAAGAGAGAAGGAGTTGCCCACAGGAGAGACATTACCTGGGTGGAGACCTCAGAAAGCATCTCCAAGATGCCATTGGAATCTCATGTCCACTTGGGCCAGAAGCGCAGCTGCCATGATAGTGTTTCCTCTGCTTCTTACACAGCACTTTCCCAGCAAGCTGCCTACTTCTCTCTGATCTGCTGCTTCTCACCAGCTTCTCAAGCCCACAAGATGCGAAGCTCTAGTTGGGGGGAGGAAGAGGAGGACATTGAAAGGGAAAGAATTCGTCCAGCCTAGGCTCAAATAGTAGGTCTGCCACTTATCAGCTGTGCAGCCCAGGCTCATGACTGTTTCTTTGAGGATCACTTTCCTCACCTGTGTACTGGGGAGCCAAATCCAGGACTGTCTGAGTATAAATGACATGCTTTTTCCAGTGTGTGCCAGACAGCACTGAATAATACCTAGTCCCCGTCCTCAAGGTGTTTACCTAGGCTTGGGCACTGTGTTCTGTAGGTCAGGCCCACAGTTATTTCTTCAACCCAGGACTGATCCTTAGTCCTAGCCCCAGGCTGGCCTCTTTCCCTGGTCCTACACTGACATCTGCTGTACCACCCACCTTGTCTCTCCTTGCTGTTGGCCCAGAGCGGTAGATGATTCAGCTCCACACCTCCCGGGGGCTATCAGAATGTCTGCCCTGAGTGCTTCCTTCTACCCAAAGCTCCCTTCTGTCACCTGAACCCTGTCTTGGATCAGGAAGGCCACACTCCTTGTCCTGTGGTATGTAGGTTGACCCTGCTGTGGCTCCAGTGACCCCAAAAAAGACAGAGAGGCTGTTGGGGCCTGGCTGGGGGGTTGGTGCATTTTCTCCTCCATTTGTAAGGCAGTAACTGTGCACCCACCTAGCTGAGAAGCCCTGTGGCTGGGGATCACACTCATCATGGTCAGATAACATTCAGGTACCAGCCAGGTGAAGCATGAGGCACCCTCTGGGTCAGAATTTGTGGTAGGCAGGCAGCAGCCAGTGCCTCAGGACCTCAAGACTGAAGCAGGGGCAGGAGAAAGAGGTGGATCTAGAGGGTAGGCCTCCCGGGGTCCTCTAGATTAGTGTCAGATGTGTGCTAGGGACTGGCTAGGTGGAGCCTGGCACCCCAGGGGTACCGTGAGGATGGGCAGCCGGAGAAGTGCCACAGAATGAATTGATTTGATAAATGGCCATTTATTACCCTCACGAATTGGCTGAAACCAATTTCGGTCACATCAACCCCTGGTAAGTGCTGGGATATTGATTTGTGCAAAGTAATACAGTGAATTTATCAGTGTGATCCCCAGCTGCAGGGCTTCTAGCAAGGCTGGCGCACAGTTACTGCCTTACAAATGGAGGAGATAAAGCACCAGCCCCACAGCCCAGGCCCCATGGCCTCTCTGGTCTTCTAGGGTCACTGGAGTCAAAGCAAGGCCAACCTCCATACCACGAGCCAGAGCCTTGGCATTGAAAGTGAGGCTCTCTTTCCAAACTCCGGAGCTGCTCTTGGTCATGGGAGGGGGAGGATGCCTACCCTGTGGGCAGACCTCCTGGGAGTCAAGAACCTCTATGCCCCACCCACCATCCTCCTCAGAAAGACAACCAGTCATGTCTTCAGCACCTTCAAAACTAGACTCCACCCCCCTCTTCCAACCTGCCCTCCTCCTGTGTTCCTGTCTCAGTAAAGGCACTGCCATTCACTGGTGCCCCTCCCTCCGCCTCATTCCTAACAGCCCATCAAGTATCAGGTTCTATCATTCTGCCTCTTAAATGGGTCTCACACCTGGCCTCTCCCCTCTGTTCCTCATATGACTGCCCAACTTAGGACCTCAGCCTTTCCCATCTGAACCACGTGGTGGCCTCCTCACTGCTCACTGGTCTCCCTGTCTCCCTGCCTCCTTTCCTTCCCCCATGATCACTTCTCCTCAGCTGGAGAGAGCTTTGTAAAATGTAAAAACTGCCCTGTTTGAAGTCCTTGAGTGGCCCTTGCTGCCCTAGCCTGGCATACGAGGCCCACCCATGCTGCCACCCTGCCTTCCCTGCTGCCGCCCACTTTGCATCGCACACACCAGCTGCTCTGCATCCCTGCATATGCTGTGTTGATCTCCTGCCTGCATTTGTTGGTGCTGCCCTCTCTGCTTCGAATTCCTTTTCTTCTGGCGCTTTCCCCACCCCTGCCCTGCCCATCTCCCACACTCTGGCTGGTTTTTACTTAGCCTAACTCAGTTCAGGAGCCATAGACCGTAGACTTCTGAGGGCAGAGACCATGACTGTATCGTTTTTGTTTTCCCGCTTCCTGGCACAGCACTCTGCTGGAAGTAGGTGCTTAGTGCAGTGTGCTGAATTAATTAATTTGGCACGGCCCCTTGTGCATCTCCGTGGTGTGCTCTGAGGAACGAAGAGAAGCTGTGAGCCTGCCCTCTGGTAGCTCACAAGCGTAGTAGGAATGTGACTGTAGCGAACTAGTGATTACAGCACCCATACTACTTGACCTTTGACCCCCTGGGTGGACAGGCCATTCCTCAGACCTGCTCGAGAAGCCTCCTCTGGACAGCAGGTCAGCTTGCACACCTGGAAGCTTCCCTGGAGCTCCCTCTGACCAGGAGCCTATCCCCGACCCCCATTGCACTTGGTCCCAGTTGACTCTGAAGCCCGTGAACTCCCTTGGGGAAGCTCTCCCACCTCGACTGCTCCTCCACACCGGGTCTGGCCCGAACTCAGGATCTCAGCATCCGCCATGTGGCGCACAGTGGGCGCACAGTCCTATCTCGGGCTTCACTTCCCTCTTAGACTAATCCAAAAACGTAACCTTCCCAAGCCCTGAACCTTTCTGGACCCTCCCCTGGAGTCCTGTTTCTGATCCAAGAAATACATCCAGGTCCCCCTGATTTGTGCATGGCAGTGATTAATTAGAAACCTGCTCGCAGTCCAACCTCCACACCTCACCCCTCTAGGTCCCTCCTGTGCCCCTGCTGTTCTCGTTGCCTGGACTGCCCTGCCCCTCCCCTGGCCTGCTGAGACCCTCAAGACCAAGGCCTCCAGGAAGCCTCCCTTAGCCCTCCGCCTGGATGCAGGGCCTTTTCTCTGGGCTTCCTGTGGGCACCTTTTATCCCTGCACTTACCTTAGGGTGTGTGTTTATATGTCTTTCTCCCTCCAAAGGCCAAGAACTACCTCATTCAGCTCTGTTTCCCCAGGGTTAGGAGCACAGGTGTGTAAAAAGTTGTTGAACTCAAGTGAACGAAGTCTGAGCCTGCCTTGATATTTGCCTCTCCTCAACACAGATTCTCGTCTCAGCCGCTTTCTGGAAGGGTATTGCTCTTGCCTCCAGTGATCCCCAGCACAGCATGTGCACGCACACATGCACGCACACATGATGGGGGGGCTCAGCAAAAGCTGTTCTTTGCATTTTTAATATGTTAACCACTCAGTAGCAAAATTTGCCTTCCGAAAGATTAAGCTGTAGAGACTAAGAAGAGAACTATTCTCTCATCGTCCTCCAAACCCAAGGCCCCAGGGTCCCCTCAGTCAGCAGGCACTTGCTTTGCTCCTTGGACCTACAAGCTGTAAACAGAAAATTGCTAATAGACATTCAGATGACTCTCAGCCATGAGAGTCCCTCTGAAGGACTGGTTCCCCTAGGAGATACCACAGGCGTGGAATAAACGTGTTCCAGGTTAGGTTAGGTTTTACAGATCTCCTCACTAGAGTTTATCAGGAAGGGTGAGTCAGCCTAGCCAGACTGCCCCAGAACCTTGAGCTGGACAGAGGCAAAGACCGGGACGGGAGGAGGCGGCGGCTCTTTCCTCTTGCTTGGGTTTTGCACATGCTGGGTCTGTCTTTCTGGAATGTCCCATCATACCTGGACTGCCTGGCAGTCTCCCCCTCATCCTTCAGGCACAAAAGTCAGTCAGGCACAAATGGCTCTTTTCACACTTCTCACAGTGTTCCCACCCCATTTGGAACCCACCATTTTCATAGCAACATTTACCTGAAAGGCACAAACCTTATTTTAGGCTTCTTTGTACATGCTGCAGCCCGTGGCACAGAGCTTGTTTGCTGAGCAAATGGATAAGGCTCCTTGCAGAGGGGTTAAGATGAGAATAGAAGCCTTATTCACCCAAAGGCAGTAGTAACCACTTGGAGCGCTAAGAGATGCTTCGGTCCAGGCCTCACTCTTCTCTGTAAAATGGGAGTTGAAGCATCTGTTCTTTCCCCTTGTGATTCCAGAAAGATCAAGAAATAATTCATTTAGTCAGCAAGGATTAAACCAGTGTTGAGCTATTCCCAGGGGTCCCTCAGGAAATAGAACTGCTGGCACCTGCTCCCGTGGAATACACAGTCAGATTTGGGCACACCTTCCCCGCTGGACCTGAGGACACAGGCACGTGAAACCCCTTACACTGGTCCTCTCTGAGCCTGAGTCTCCTCCTCTGTAAAATGGAGATAATACCTACTTCTCAGAATTATCGTAAGGATCAAAGAAATATCGGTAAAATACCAAAGCTAATGGCTGCTGCCACTGCTGCTGCCGTGACTACTGTTATTTTTACTCTTACTGTTATTCCACTTTTTGCAACTTACAAAATGCTTTCATCACCATTAACTCAGTCTTCATGTGGGGCTGACTCAGCATGTGTGACTATTCCCATTTTATAGATGAAGAAACCAAGGCTCTAAAGGAATAAGTGTTTTATTCAATATCAGTCCCCTAGTAAGTGGCAGAGCCAGGACTCCAAAGTAGATCCGGTAACTCCTCCCCTCTCCAGCGCACCACCCCATGGGTGAACAGGACCAGAGAATCCAGCCTGGGAGTTAACGGGATAGATGTGGGGTGGTGGAGTTAAGCAAAAAGGTTGTCATAGATGAGTTTTGAGATGGGCCGGGTGGTAGACATGGCCAGGAGAAGGCGTTCTGGTAAGGGAAGGAACACGGCAGGAGGGCGCTGGCACTGGCCCAGCATGTGGAGAGGCGGTGGAGCCTGCTTGGAGCCTGCAGGCATGGGACTGGCCAGGAAAGGGGCTGAGCTGCCTGCTCAGGGGCCCCTGACACCATCTTGAGCTCAGAGAGCTGAGGTCAAGAGAGTCAGGGGACAGGGCCTCCTGAGGCCAGGTGTAGAATGGCTGAGCAGGCCAGACTGGAAGACTACAGACGGATGGTGTTCCAAGTGAGGCAAGGGTATGGTGCTGTGGTGGTGGGGAGCGACTCCCTTCTCTAAACTCCTGGAGCACCAGTTCAGGCTCAAGAGTGAGCCAGAGCTAGGGGTAAAGCCCAGGGTGTTCATTTATTTACCTGTGTGACCTTGAGCAGGTTACCTAACTTCTTCATACATATTTCATCTATAAAACGGGAATCCAGTTCCCTGCCCTGCCTGCCTCGTAGGTTTATAAGGAGGCTCAAACGAAGTTTGTCTGCCGAAGTTCCTAGAGACTGAGATGCCAGCGGGTAAGGTACTGCATTTGCTGGTCCACTGTGAGAGCACCAGTCCCTGTGGCCACATCCCACATGGGCCCCTCAGGGTCTCTCTGTCCCAGTCTCTGCCTTGGCCTGACAGGACCCTCCAGGCTCCCAGCCTCAGTCCTCAGCCCCCCTGCCAACCTACACACCCTGGGGCCCGCCTTCCCCAGTTCTTCCTAGCTGCTTCCATTTTTCATTCTGTCGGACTCCATCTGCTTGGCCGTTTTTCTCTTCAGATATTATTAGAAATATCCAGAGTTGTAATTGTTTAATAGTTGGCATTTCGCCTGTTTTACTGGGGCCCCAGATCAAGCCCACCCCAGACTCATGCCCTGGGTCTGGCAGAATTGACCAGGGACAGCTGTGCCGTGGAGTCTGCCTGGCATTATAAAGAGCTCTCTCCCAGGTGCATTATTAGAAAAGAAAGGGGAAAAGATGGCCCCAGGCATAATCCAATTCCACATTCTCCATGGGGTTGTTGAACCACAAAGCCCAGCGGTGCGCAGCTCTCAGTGGGCTGGAAAGCGTCCCTGAAAAAGAAGTCAAGATCAGAACCTCACGTACGTGGGAAACCCTGTTCCCCCCAGGCCGCCTGTCTAAGTGATGCCTGGGCACTTCTGCCTCCCAAAATGCCCCATGAAGCCTGAACCCAGTTCATGCTCAGCTTCTTCCCAACCTAGATTCTCAGTTCAGCCAACTTTTGGAAGCATGTGACTCCTTCCAGATGACCGCTGTCTTCCTAGCCCCAACACACATCCACACAATGTTCGCCAAAGTCTAGCCTTTGCCGCTTTATAATTGGTAGCCTCCCCAAATACCCCCACCCCTGGGCTCCTGTTTCTGTCTGGACACTGGAGCTGCCCTCTCAGCCAGGCTTGGAATTCTCCCTCTTTATCCCCAGGATCCTCTAAGGCCTATGGGTTCCCCTTAGAGCCAGGCCTTCCAGAGGACTGGGCCAGTTAGTTTAGAGAAGATCTGGGACGTAGCCCAGGGGAGAGGTGGGATGAGTGTTTTCTCAGGCCCCTTTCGGGATTCTCAGGGAGCTTCTCGGGGCAGGCAGAGTGGCTAGTCTGATGTCCAGGAGGTTGCAGTTTCCATCTGTTTCTGCTGAGGCCAGAACTAGAGAAAATACTTTAGGCAGCAGCATTAGAGATTGAGATGAGAAACCACAGTGCGGACCTGAACTCTGAAGACAGCTATTTGAGACCTTGGTAATCTGATCCCACCCACCACTACTCCTGTTCGTTCCTGTCTCTCTGCCTCTGTCATGATGGCCACTTTTGCCTCTCCAAATCCTGCACAGCCTCCATGACCTGTCATCAGTCCCACTTCTTCCAAAAAGCCTTCCCTCACCTCTGAAGCCACTTCTTTGAAACCCAACCACACAGGTTGTACCACACAGTATAGCAGTTAGGATCTTAGCACCTCAGGACTGGCAGACACATCCCTAAGACTGTCAGCTCTTTCTCAGTTGACTTGGTTTCCAGGCCTTGTCCTCTAAAATGTATCTCTTTGCTTATCATCTCCTGACACTCGGGACCAGACCAGACATGCTCTTCCATCTGCAGACTGACCTTGACATTGCACAGTGCTCTGTCCCCTTCCTGCTTCTGACTGCCATGTTTCCCTAATGCAACCCAAACTGATGCTCACTTTTTTCAGCAGCCATATGTGACAAAGAAAAGTTTAAAGAGAGAAGCACCTCTCCCATCTACGAGTTTTGTGACTTGGGCAGGTCTCTTTTTCTCTTGCCTCAGTTTCCTGTTCAGTATAGTGGAGTTGAGAATAATACTTTCTTCTCAGGATGTTTGTGTGGGTCTTGAGTAATAAAATGTTGGCAATTTTTCCGGTTGTGCCTGGGGTTCTGCTCGTTCCACCCCCTGCTCTTATGCCTGAGTGATGCATCTGAGCCTGATTCTCCCACTCTGTAGTTGGGCACTTGATTTCCTCACGTGGAATGCACAGCCCTTGGTTATATACTTCCTCCTGAAGTGGAGAGGTCAGGTCTCGCCCTAGCAGAGCTGAGCCCCCAGGGAACCTGGTACAGATCTGTCCCACTCCCCCAACCCTGCACCCCATTGGAGGCCATGGTTAGTGGAGATGGTAACCAAGGGGCTCACCCTTCTGTGCCCTCTGTGTCCACACTACTGTTAATTGGCTTCAAGGAAGGGCATTTGTTTGTATTTCCAGACAGTGGCACCAGATCTTGGTTTCCCCCAAATGGGAAAGAATCCAGAGCTTACACCCCAGATCCCCAGGGGCCTACCATGAGCTCTGCCTCTCCTATTTGCATAGGAGACATGCTCAGTCTCCTACCAGTGATGAGTGGCTGGGTAACTAGCCGAGAGCTAAAGTTCCTTTCGAATTCTCCTTCACCAGCCCCCACCCCCTTCACCTCCATTCACCATCCACCCGCCTTTCAGTTTCCCTGGCAACGCTGAGTGCTCATCCTGGAAAACTTTATCCGAAATCTGCTCTGGGCAGCTTTCCAAATCCATGCTAACCTGATTAGGTGTCTCTAGGGGCCTTGCCAGCTAATCAGATTAGGCAGCACTAATGGTAGTGAGGACTTTGAGTGGGCGCAGAGCAGTAAAACATATTGTATACTTAGTGATAATTATCCTGCCTTTTGTGTCATTGATTTATCTGCCTCCCTCCCTGTCCTCCCGTCTTGTGTATTTGGCCATAGCGATCAGGAGGAAGGAGAATGGCTGGTACGACGAAGAACACCCTCTGGTCTTCCTCTTCTTGGGATCATCTGGAATAGGTAATGGGAGCGCATCAGCCAGTGGGGAAGGAGAGCGGGGGAGCGCCTGCCCAAACCTGACAGCCCCAGCTGCTGTGGGCCAGGGTCAGCCGACCCACCTCTGGTTCAACTCCAGCTCCCAAAACAACTGCCTCCAAACTACAGAGCCAGCAGGATGGTCATCCGACATATCAGAAACAGCTGGAATTATGGCCCTCCCTCTGGAAGCTGTGGTGCAGGGCCTAATTCACCTGAAGGGCCAGGCCCTTTGGGGCCTATTAGCCTTGTCCAGCCACTCTGCATCCCTCAAGGCTCCCCTTTGGGAACAGCTGAACTGCCTCCACTGCCCAGCACACCAACCTTATTCAGTACAGCCTGGGATATAACCCTCCAGGAAGCTAAAGAAAGCCCTTGATGGCCAGCACAGTGCTAGGTGCATAGCAAAGTTGGTTACAATAAAATGGGTTGGGTATTTTTCTAACCACTCAGGCTCGATTATCTGAATCATTCTCACCCCCTCATTCTCCGCCCTTGCAGACCGCCCCACCTGCACCGCCACCTCCCACCATTGTCTTGAGGGGGATCTTCATGTGTGTGTTTCCTTCTCTTCCCCTCTCAGCATCTTCTTGGGCCTAGCTCTCCTTCAGATGTAGAGTCCCAAAAGGTTACCATGATCTCACTATGATACTGTAGAACTTGACTTCCTATACCAGACAATGACTTCCAGGGGCTTGACCATCATAGCAAATGGCACTTCAGAGCCACTACTTTGGTGTTGTCATTCCTTCTTTATGTTACAGAAAGAGGCTATGAAGCTAAGAAGAGCTGCACTTCATCCCCTCCCTGCCTCTCTTCGGCCTGTGGCTCCTGGGCCAGGCTGGATGACAAGACCATGGGTGTCTAGTGAGATGTAGGGCAGTGAGCCAGGAAGTCAGGGTGCTCTTCCGAGAGGCAAGGTTTGTGCTGGACTTGAAAGAACAAGTTGGCTCTGGATTATAAGAGTCAACCGCCTATTCTTAGGATGCTCCTGTAGACAAAAAGCCTCAATCTCTATCCACAGAAAAATCAAGATGCAGTGTAGACTTTGATTCTGGTCCCAGCTTCACCGTTAATTCCCTCAGAGACTGGGAGAGTCACCGACCCTATCTGAGCCTCAACATTCCCAACCATAAAATATAGTATTTCCAGTGTCCATGCATTTCTAATATTCTTTCATTCCAGGAGATAGTCATCTGGTCCTAACCCAACACCTCTCCTCTCCTTCTTACTAGGAAAAACAGAGCTGGCCAAGCAGACAGCCAAATATATGCACAAAGACGCCAAAAAGGTAAGAGCTGGGACCTAGGCCTGATCTGTAGGCCATGGAGACCTTGCCACTCCTGCCAGCCCTAAAAGTCCTAGGCTCCTTGAATTCAGCAATAGCCAATGGGAAAGGTAGGCCCTGGCCTGGGAAGCAGGCCTCAGTGCTGGCCCCAGCTGGGCCACCAATTGCTCCAGGAATTTGGGCAAGTTATCCAACCTCTTTGTGCCTTGGTTTCTTCATCTGTGAAATATGAAGACAATCCTTGCCTTGCCTCACTCTTGGGGCACTTAGGAGAACCCGGTGAGATTCATCCATACAATATTTTCAAGCATCTACTCTGTGCCAGGTATTGTACTAGATGCTGAAGATACGGTGGTTATTAAGACACTCTCCCTGCCCCGAGGAACTCAGTCTGGAGAGGGTAAACAGCTTTAGAAACATACCATTACTGTCCAGTGCCTTCAAGGCCTTGCTAGAGGGTGTCTTGGAATCTTGGGGCCTGTGGGAGAAAACAAGTTGTAAGAGAGGAAGCCTTGTTGCTCTCTCCATCCTACAGGAGCTTTTCAACATGGTTTCTTATGCCTTAAGCTGTAGGGTGGTCACAGTCCTCTTTCCCCCATGACCTGGAGCCTGAATTCTGCATGGGGAAGTGCTGTCCCTGTGCCCTATTTGTTCAGACTCTGGCTTTCCAAGGCATGCTCGTTTGACTTTGGGCTGACAGGAAATGCTTTCACACAGAGAGAAATGTCAGAGAGAGCAGTCCTTGGAGACTGCAGAAACATTTCAGCTGAAGCCAAACATTCTTCTTTCTACCAGCGTTCCATGTGGAGGCTGAAGTCCCACTGTCCACCACGGGAGACTGCCCACGATCTCAGATGCCCTTGCCTAGTTATGGAAAGCCTCCTCAGCTGAGGCAGTTAGGAGTTTCCCAAGCCTCTGCCAGCCAAATGACCCCAGCAGCAGAGTCCTGGACACCTCCTGTCCTGTTTCTGGCCTAGCTGTCCCTGAGAGCCTGACGGCCACAGAAACCAGGTAGCTGAGGCTCTGTCCTCCTGAGCTGCATCCCTGGCCCCCTTCTGCCTTATAACTGGCTGAAGGCTCTTAAGCCTCCTTGGCTCTGCCAGTAGCTGTGCTCTGCCTCAACCAAACCCAGAGCAGAGCCAGCCAGGCAGGCAAGAAGCAGCGCGTGGCATGCTAATATGCTCCAACCGAAATAGCGTTTTTAAGACAATTCATCAGGTTGGCAGCAATTGAAACAATTAGCACTCTGGAAAGGGCCATAAACTAGCAAGACTATTAGGGAAGATGCAGTTACGGGCAGGAACCACCTGATTAGGGATGAAGAATTCTGAGTGGTTTAATTTTAATACTGTCAGAAAGGTTAATATTTAATTACAAATTATAATCTCCTTATCCAAGCTGTCTTAATATGTCTTCATACACAGTAGAAGGAGGAGGAAAGGATCTGCTGACGTGCTGGTATAGAAAGGAGAAGGGCTTGTTAAAAGACTGATGATGCAAGTAATTTCTCAGTTGGAGCATCTAGACGAGAGACAGATTCACGCCAGTGCAGGATGTCCTGAAAGCGTGACGATGGCGCCCTTCAACACGTCTCACCTGGGAGACGGAAGGACCACCATCAGCCCTTGGAGGCAGGGACTGGGTGCTCAAGGCTCCGGAGCCAGCCATTCCTTTGTGCAGGTTCCAGTTCTGCTTTCTACTGGCCCTGGGCAGATGGCTTTCACCCTCCAAGTTTCAGCTCTCTTGCCTCAAAGGGAAGCTCTCCAACCCTGTGTCTGAGGTTGTTGTGAGCATCAAGTGAGATAATCTGAACAAGCCAGCTCAGGCTCTAGCACACAGTAAGTGCCCAATCGATCCTTTGTCTCATACTTCGTCACCTTGTGCTTTCCACAGCAGAACCCCATCGACCATCTTTTCTGATTCTATGAAGAAGATAGCATAGATGCTAAATTGGACCCACTTTGCAAATGAGAAAACTGAGACCCTACAGCATTAAGGGGCTCGTTTAAGGTCACTTGTTAGAGAAACAAGTAAAATCAGAATCCAGTCTCTCAACTCTTCTCTCAATACCGTTGTTCTCAGCTGCAATAGGAGGCTAGATATTGAAGTTGTCAGTTTGTCCCCATGTCACATAGGGAGATGGAGGCTTGAGAAGCCCAGTATAACCATCTATATATTTTATTTTTAAATCATAGTTAGTGCTTCTTTAGAACTCTACCTGTACCAGCCTTGTGGGCCAACTCATTACAGAATCTGTGTTTAGCATAAACATTGTGACAGGCAAGTTTGAGATCTGCCTTCAAAATCTGGCAGTCCTGGGGGCCGGCCTGGTGGCATAGCAGTTAAGTCTGCATGCTCCACTTCAGTGTCCTGGGGTTTGCTGGTTCAGATCCCAGGCACGGACCTATGCACTGCTTGTCAAGCCGTGCTGTGGCAGGCGTCCCACCTATAGAGGAAGATGGGCACAGATGTTAGCTCAGGGCTAATCTTCCTCAAAAAAAAAAAGAAAAACGGCTGCCAGGCCTGGACTGTAAGCTGTCTACTGTCTAACAGATTTACCTGATGCCATAGGACCCAGGGAATGATGTAAGGGAGGTGTCGTGTACAGGGCCCAGTGACGGTAGATCTCCCTAAATGAAAGGAGCACTGGCCTGGGAGTCGGTGACTTGAATTTGAGTTCTGGCTCTCTGATCCTTAGTTTTCTCATTTGTAAAGAGTCACATTTCCAGACCAGGCTGCCTCACAAGGCATTGTTTGCACATTTATATAATTTCTTTTGTCAGATCTGTGAGCTTATTTTTTTTCTCTCTTTAGTTTCTACTACTTCTCCCAAATTGAGCAGCTTTGTTAACTTCCATTATTAGGGTTAATAATCCTTGAGAAGGAGCCTTACTGGTGTTCTGTGGTCTCATCCTGGAGGAGGGTGGTGGAGCCCTGAAGACTTGGGGTTGTAGTGGTGGTGTGATGAAGGGATCAAAGCAGGGATCTAAGTCCGCCTGCCTGGGTTCACATCCAACTCTAAACGACCCTGTGGAGTTGGCTGTGATCTCTGTTTACATCTCTTTTCTCCACTGTAAAATGGCTTCGTTAATGTGCCTGTCTCATTGGGTTGATAGGAAGGTTAAATGAGATAATGATATAAAATGCTAAGCACCATTCATGGCACGTGGTGAGCAATCAGTGCATGTTGGATATTACTGTCATTGCTGCCCTGCTTCTAGATAACCCTGAGCTAAGATCATGTGAAACAAAAATTATTCCAGCCAAGAAAATCAAGCCCTGAGACTTGTTCAGAGTTACTCAGCAAATCAGTAGAACAACTAGAACCCAGGTCACTTGACGTAAGTAAGCGCTACAGTCCGTACTCCCCATATCCTGCGACCTTGATTGCTAGCTGGGCACCAGGCTCAGAACCCTTCAGATGAAGACTGCCAAGATCCCAGCTGATTAACAGAGTGGGAAATAGGAGGCAGTAGGGCATAGTGGCTTGGAGCCAGATGGCCCAGCTTGGGTGACCTTGAGCAAGTTACTTTAATCTGTGACTCAGTTTTCTCATCTGTAAGGTGGGGATGATAATAGTACTTACCTCATAGACTTGTACATGTTCTAAGCCCTTTATAGTTTCCTTAGAACATTGCCAGGCACATTGTAGGCCCCCAGGGACTGTCAGCTATCATCAGCAGACACCCATCTCGTGGCTCCCAGCCCCTTGTTCCCTCTGGGCAGCACTCCCACCTTCCCCATGTCCATCCCCCCACCTTTCCTGAAGCCTCTCTCTTGGCTGAGCTGCCGGAGCCCTGTAGCAGTGCTTGCTGGCTCCTGCCCCGTGTGCTCTGATAGCAGTGATCACCCCCATGTCACCTTAATAATTTCCCCAAGCCCTTTCCCACCTCTTGGGTTAGGTCCTCTCCTCAGGCCCCCAGTGAGGCAGAGAGAGGAACCAAGGGCCTGCTACATAGGAAGAGACTACAACTCAAAAAAGGGGAGATAGCATACCCAGGGCCACACAGACAGTGGCAGAACTGGGACTGGAAGCTGAGTCCCCGGCTCCCAGCCCATGGTTCTTTCTGCCACCCTGTACCTTGGGTGCAGAGTGACAGGACAGAGAAGAAACTAGAAGTACGTCACTGAGTGAATTTCTGACCAGCAGCTGAGCTAGAATGTGACCTGGGTTTCAGACGTATAATATATATGTAATATTTATAACATATATATTTATATAAAAAATAACATATATAATAAGACTCTCAGCGTTACTGCCCCGTCCCCCCAGCTCTCAGGAGAAGCATGTTCGGTGAGTGCATTCTCTTGAATGGAAGCATGTGCTGGTAGGACAGGAGCCTGGGGGATTGTGGGGAACGCTGGTCTGGTTCAAGAGACAGGGCACCTGCGAACGCCCTTATAACCCCCTAAATCGCTAAATTCTTCATGAAAGGAGTGGGCACTCTGCCTGTGTTAACTCACAAACCCCACACTACAAGATGTCCTCTTCCTGGGCCTAATCACCTCACCCCAGGGGCCACTTCCCTGGAAAACACCCCTGGGCTTAACGGTGGACAGGGAGGGGCTGCAGGCTACATTATGGATAGCTCTTAGATGAAGACATGTGAATACGTAGATTTGTTAGTTTAAAAAAGAAGTAAACTAAAACAAAGGGACATGTGCCCACACAGACTCACCAAGTCGAGGACAGCACGTAGCTGTCAGGGTGTTTGGTACTCCCCTCCATCTCATCACTGTCCACGCTGATCGTGACTGACTTTGTCCACGTCTGCCTGCCCCACTCGATGGGTGGGTCCTCGAGGACAGAGACCAGGACTGGTCCACCATTGTAGCTCCAGTGCCCAGCACACACAGGATGCCCTCTGGAAATGTGGGGTGGGTGGGTGGATGGGGAGTCGGGGTGGATGATGTGATAATCACCTCAGTAGAACCCAGCCTGAAAAAAGACATTCTGAGCCAGACTTAGAAAGGCAGGGACGTGACTTGGGTTTGTTAAGGTAGCAAATGAGGGAATCGCGTGGGGAAGGAATACACAGAAAAGGAGACAAGGAGCCAGAAAAAAATATATCATGAGAAGGGGATAGAAGACCTTGGGTTAGTGGGGTCTGAAAGCCTAGGGGACCTGTGAGATGCTCTCCTCCTTAACCCTTCCTTCTGCCTTCCTGCCTCTGAATGGACTCCTGCTTGTTTCCACACAGGGCTTCATCAGGCTGGACATGTCTGAGTTCCAGGAGCGGCATGAGGTGAGTGAGAGTCCTCGGTGGAGCCTGGTTTGGGGGGTCTGTGAACATGGCTCTGCCTGGGTATTTTGATGTGACTTGTCATTTGGGCCTGATATAATTTGGTAGCCCTGGGATTTGTCCTTTGGGGACATACGTGTGCAGCATGGTCACTGATCTGTTTTGCATAGGATTTGCTCTGAGGAATAAACATAGAGAAGATCTAACTGCTCTCCCATCATGGCAGGATTCCTGCCACTCCGGGAGACAGCCCAGCTGTCCTCGCTGAGACAGGCAGTCTTTGCGTATAAAGCCATCTTCCCGTGCATGTCCCATATTGGAAACTGAAAGCATAGAAAGGCCTTCCTCACATGTTTTCTTCCTTCTACCAGGTGGCCAAGTTTATCGGGTCCCCACCAGGCTACATTGGCCACGAGGAGGGTGGCCAGCTGACCAAGAAGCTGAAGCAGTGCCCCAACGCTGTGGTGCTCTTTGATGAGGTGGACAAGGCCCATCCAGATGTGCTCACCATCATGCTGCAGCTGTTTGATGAGGTGAAAGTCAGCTTGGGCCGGGATAGAGTAGGGGACACCTGGAGGTATGGGGAGCTGTGAACAGCAGGGACCAAGGGCCCAGAGGCCTGTCTGATCATTCCTCAACTTGCTGCTCCCGATGTGTGCATTCAGTCCCTTAGCAGATGTGGCTTCTCCCCCTCTCGACCAGGACCAGGCTGGGCACTCGAGGGAAGATCAGCACTGCCAAGAGCTGAAATTTTGTTGCTGCCTAAGCTACCTTCTAGAGAGACAGAGTGGGGCAGAGGCGCCAGGAGAGAGAGAGAGACCTGAATTTTAAGTTCCAGCTCTGCTCCATCTCTAGGCCTCAGGGAGCTCATGTGACAAACAAGGAGGCTGCATCCAAGATAAGCTCTAGGAACCTTTCTGGCTCATGGAGCCCTTTTCTTCTGTGAACTCCAGGCTCATCACAAGCTAGACAGTCCCCCCACTGGTGGAGTGAGCTTAAATGGAGCAGAACTCCCCTTCACTCAGCACATTCCACGTACTGGGCTTGTGCTAAAGACTTTACAGATGTTATCGCTGATCATCACAATAGCCCAGCAAGGTAGAAACTGTCTCATTTTTACAGATGGAGGGACTGAGGTTCAGAGAGGTTATAAATGACTTGCCCAAGGCCACAGAGCTACCATATGGAGGAGCCAAGATCTGTACCCCACCTTACGTGAGCAGGGGATGGAGAGCTTCTGATCGTGGGAGGAGGTGCCCTCCGTCTTGTCCAGGGGTCCTGCAGACCCAAGCATGAGGCTCCTCTTCTGCTCCCGTGCAGGGACTATATTAGCCAGCATGTGGGCTGATGGAGTCCAGCCCCCTTTTCCATTGAGCCCCCTCCAGCCCTGGGAAAACACGAAGGGGTTTTGCTTCCCTTGTCATAAGTGCACTAGATGAGGTGCAGGCAGGGACTCCCCCGAACGAAATAGCACACCAGGTACCAAGCCAGGAAGGCCCAGCTCCAAATGTCCCCACAGCTGCCCCCACCTTCCTCGCCTGGCCCAGCATCCCTGCCCCTGCCGCAGTTTTGTTGCTGTCTTCTAGCCCCTCAGCTGCTCCCTGTCCCTGGACTCCTCTCTGAGGGATGCAGGCCAGTCCTTCAAAGGTCACATGCTCAGTTTCCCACACCTGTGCTCTGAGACCTCCCACTCTGTTCCACCCTCATAGTGGGATTCAGGTACAAGCAATGGACGAGACTCAAACCTGGCCTCCGGGAACTGCCTGCCTAGTAGACGGGTGGAAAAGAGGCCCGATAGTAGTTGACATTTTTGCACTTTATGTATGAGGCACTGTTCTAAAAAATTTACAGGTATCAACTTATTTAATCCTCCCAACAACCCTATGAAGATAGTTACTATTACTGCCTCCCTATAACAGATGGGGAAACTGAAGTAAAGTGAGAGAGGTAATACACCCATGGTCACACAGCTAGGAAGAAGGAATCCAGGATTCAAACCCAGGCAGTCCAGTTACAGATCCTCCAGCTTAAATAGTAACTCCATGCAGCTAGGCCCGAAAGAGAGAGGTAGATATGCGGTGAAGAATTCACAGGAAGAGAGAGCCCAGCTCGGGGAGGGTGAGCACTGCAGCCTGTCTGGCCTCTGACACCCCTGGAGACATACCTCTGATGGCCTCCTTGGCCCAGGCAGAGGGAAGGCAACTGCTGACTGAAATGCAACCAGCCCCACCTGGAAGATGCTTACCACCCTAACGGGTAAGCCCATCCACCCCTCCCCAGCTGCTGTCACTCCACTGACTACCTTTTGGGAGTTGATAATAACTCCTTCCTACAGCCCCTGCCAGCCTACTGCAGTTTCTGATATTTATGCTCTTGGCTCTGTGGATGAAAGCTGCCATCTCAGATCGCTCAGCCAGATTTATGCTTGTATGCTCCTTGAGGACAGGGACCTTGCTTACTCCAGCCATTCCCAGAGCCCACAGAGGCAGGGGAACTGCTCTGTTGACTAACTAATTCAGCAGTAATTCAGCAAACCTTCCAAGGATGAGTAACTATTTGCTAGGTGAACAGAATGGAGGAGGGCCGGCCGCAGACACTTAATGTGCGGAAGCACAGGGACATGAGACAGCCTGGTCTATCCAGGGAACCATAGCTGTTCATTCGGCTCCACTTGCAGGGAAGGCGAGAACAGAGTGGTGGAGGTGAGTGGGTAAGGTAGACGGGCCAGTTAACATGCCGGGCAAACGAGTGTGGATTTATTTGGTAGATCATAAGGAGCCTTTAAAGACTTTAAACGAGAAAGAAACATGATCAAGTTTTCACTTTATAAAGATCTTGTAGGCAGCGGTGAGAGAATGGACTGGAAGGAAGAAAGGGGAGCTGCAAGGAGACTATTGAAGAATCCAGGCTAGAGCTGGGGAGGCCTGCTCTAAAGCAAGGGCCGCGGGATGGAGACAGCTACCAGAAGGTCAGCTGTGCAGGGCTCGGTGATTGAATGTGAGGAGAGGGAGGGGCCGAGGATGACCAGTGACAGGATTTCAGCCTGGGTGACCAGATGGCTACTTCTGCCATCCACTGAGGCAGAGAACTCAGGAGGACGAGCAGCAGATTGGCAAGGAAGGTGAGGAGCTGAGGGTTGAAACTGTTGAGAAGGAGATGCCTGAAGGACAGCCAGATGGCAGTGTCCAAGACGCTGCTCGTCAGTTGGAGAGTCTGGACTGGAAGTAGAGGTTCAGGGGTGCTTCAGCACAGCGGGGATGGAAGCCGCAGGAAGGGATGAGATCTCTCAGCCAGGGAGAGTATGGTGTGCGGAGAAGAGAGGGCTAAACAGAGCCTTGTGACCTCTCAGGAGAGAGTCAAAGAGGGAATTGCCAGAGAGGCAGGAGGCAAACGAGAGAATGTGGTTCCGTGTGGGGCAGAGGGGACACAGACCAGGCACGGTCCCTGCCTCGGTGTTCATGGTGAGTGCGGGAGACAGGAAGCAAAAAGCAGTTGAGCCCACTATGGTGAGTCCTGCTCTAGGATAAGTAGCGGGAAGTTGTAAGGGCACCTAATCCGGTCTGGGGGCATGAGGGAAGCCCCTCATTCCCACCCAGCCCAGCTCTCCCAAGCTTGGACCCAGAAAAGCAGGAGGCCCAATGCTCTCACCAAAACACCAAGCAGGGCTAATGCTGGTCACTTTGCTGGTGACCTCAGAGCCTACAGCACAGGGCCCAAGTCCCAGGAAGAGACTGGCCCCCAGGGAGCCCACCCTCTTCTCCTCCTTTCAAGGATTCGTACGTGAGATAGTGGGAAAGCAACCCCTATAACCCTGGGGTGAAGATTCGCCCCCTACCCAGGACGTGCGCACTCCAGTTGTCTGGGAGGTGGGACAGTGACAGCTCCCTCTTGGAGGCACATCTTTATTGCCAAAGACCCTGAGGAGAAGGAGCACTGTGGAAGTCACCCTTTGGGTCAGTCATACCCTGCACCTGCTCCCCTCACCCACCTGGGACCCATCCTCATGCCCAGTTAAGAGCAGAGCTTTGATCTCTCAGAATGAAATTGCCGCTGGTTATTGCCCTGGCTAGTACAGCAGTGTGTGCGCTCAGTTCTCAGGGTTGCACTCTGTGAACACAGTGTCATGTGCACACACTTGGGCACATCACACACATATGCAGACCTGGTCCCCAAAACTAGAATTGGCCTGAGTAGAATCTGTCATATTGTAACCCGTAAGCAGGACAGCTAATGGCAAAACTCAGGAACATCCACTTGCACCCTTACCTTCCCCTCTTCCTGCCCCAAGGCATGGATAAGAGAGCGACTAGGACCTGGATCGCGAAGCCACTTTGGAGTAGACCGCCTTGGAACTAACACTTTCTTAGAGGCCTGTGCCAGCAGCCTCTGAGCGAGGCTGAAAAGCACCTGACACCATGCCCAGCATGCAGTAGGTGCTCAGTTAATGAACATTCCTTCCTCTCTTGCTGCTGAGGGCCAGAGCTGGTCTGCCATTGCACTGGCGTTAGAAGCCAGGACTGACCCTGAGGCAAGCCCCCACCGCCAGGGCAAGGGAGAGGCTTGGGGAGGACTGGGTGCCGGCGAGGCGGGCTCAGGCAGGAGCCGACAGGCTGAGGTCACTGACCCAACCCAGAGCCATGGTCTGCAGCTTGGCAGGAGCTGTGCTTTGTCTGCAACCCAGAGGAAATCCCATGCAGGGCTCCCTCTCCCCACACCTGTCCCAGTTGCTTCTCTCCAGTGAGGATCAAAGGAAGCAAACTGAATTTGGCAGAATTCTGAGAAAATTTTATTTTAAAAGTTGCATGAGGCCTTATTTATCCAGCGCTGTAGGTATAACCTCAGGGGCCTGGTGCAGAGGGAAGGGCATGGGCTCTGGAGTCAGATGGTTCTAGCCTCAGCTCTACTGTTTTCTAACTGTGAGACCTTGAACAAGTTACTTAACCTCTCTGAGCCTCAGTTTCTTTGTAGGGGTTGTGAGGGTTCAGCCATTCAGCAAGCAGGTACTGAACACCTACGGTGTGCCAGAGACAATTCTAGGACCCAGTGAGAACCCAGAGGACCCAGCCTCTGTTCTTGTGGAGTGACGTTTAGTGCACGGAAAGCAGTAGGTAGGGCACCTGTGGTGGAGGTGGACGTGCCCCATCAGAGTCCCTGTTGTTATTCCATCTGCTCCTCTCATTGAGGCCCTGATTGTCGCTTTTGCTGTGAATGACTGCGGAGTGCTCTCGTACAGTGCTGGCCTTGGGATTTGCTGAGTGGGCGGAGCTCCCTGCCCTTGAACTGGATGGCCACAGACAGCTGTACTTTACTCATTCTTCTGTCTCTTCCCTCTGCTGTTGCTCCTTTTCTCTTTCCATGGTGCATCTGTCTCCAGTATAGGTGCTTTCTTCTATGTCTAGAAAGAGGTGAAGATTCCAAGGAAACTTCTCAAGTTGGTCAAAAGAGGAGCCTTATTTTCTAGCCCTTTCTGTCGGGCCAGAGGACAGCTCCAAAGATGCACAGGTTGTCCCTGTTTCAGTTCATTTATCTAGTCCTCACGTGGCCCTGTGGGATACCCTCCTCTGAACTCCTGCAGCAACCAGGGCTTCCATTTACCATGACACCTAACCCACTGAATTGTCTTTGCTTGTTTCCGGGGCCTCACTCCTGTACACGGGGAGCGTGTCGAAGGCTCAATGAGTCCCCAGTGCCCCAGCACGGAGCCTGGCCAGAATGGGCCTCCAGGAAAGTGTGTTAGATGGATGCCTGTGTAATCAGGCTGAATTCTGGATGCCAAGGGTGATTGGGTGCCCTGAGAGATGCCCAACAGGACGTGCCGTCTCACCTGGAGCCCCTCAGTGGATGAGCAGTTGCAGCCAAGGTGTGAGAACAGTGCTCAGAGAACCCAGAGGAGAGAACAGCTGACTCTGCCAGGGGGAGGGGGAGGCACAGGGGTTCTAGAAAGACCTCCTGGAAGAGATACCCAGCCTTACAGCTCCCTAACCATGCAGTCACTGTTCCTTCCCAGGGCCGGCTGACTGATGGAAAAGGGAAGACCATCGACTGCAAGGATGCCATCTTCATCATGACCTCCAATGTGGCCAGCGATGAGATCGCACAGCACGCACTGCAGCTGAGGCAGGAAGCTTTGGAGATGAGCCATAACCGTATCGCCGAGAACCTTGGTATGGCACAGGGCCTGAGCCCTCTGGGCAACTGGGCAAGTGACCAGGCCTCTGGTACATCTGGTGACAAGGATGGCACTGGGGTCCTGGGCCCAGGTGAAGGTCCTGGTAGGTGTCTTTGTCCTTAGCTGGCGCTGACCAGACACCAAGCACCATACCAGATAGTGGAGGGAGACAGACAGAGAGACTACCACCACTTCCTCAAGAGAGCTCCAAGTCTCTCGGGTGACAGAAGGGCTTCAGACAAAGAAGTGGACAGAGCCACCCCAGGGCGAGGGGCCAAGAAGAGGCCGGGGTCTTAGGGGACTGAAGAAATGCACACTCAACAGATAGAGACACTTTGGTACAACAAGGGGAATGGCAGATCAGAAACTATACAGAGATGGACACAACCTTTTTCAGCTAGAGAGGCTTCCTGTGTTGGTGGGCCCTGGAGAGTGCTGGAAAGGGAGAGCATCAGGCAGGAGGCCATGTCTGTCACCTTTTTGTTTGGGATTGAACCTCCAACCCCCTTCTTCCAAGTCAGAACTCAAGCCTTGGTCCTGACTCTTCTCCTCTCCCCTCCCCTCCCTCACACATCTCCCACCCTCAGGAACTCCAGGCTTTGTAGCACAGGAGAGCTGGAAGGGCCTAAAAACTACCCAGTCCCTTCCTCTCACCGTTCGGGTGAGGAGACCAGGCTGAGGCCCGGAGAGCCTGAGACCTTGACAGGATCACACTGACCATCAGGAGCAGGACCAGGGCTCTTTTCGTGGATGGGGCCCAGGAGCAGGCACAGTTCCCGAAGCTCCCTGGGTGTGGGGAATGGGCAATTTATGATTCTGTCTCCACAGGGGACGTCCAGATTAATGACAAGATCACTATCTCAAAGAACTTCAAGGAGAATGTGATTCGCCCCATCCTAAAAGTAAGAGGTCTTTGTCCTTGCTTGGGCCTTGGGTTGTGGGGGTCCTCTTTGCCATCCTAAAGATATGGAAGCCCCCCACTCTTCCCCATTGGAGTCCAGTAATTTCCTTTACCCACTCCGGGTCGCTGAGCTCACCGCCCCCTAACCTGGCCCTGCAGGCTCATTTCCGCAGGGATGAGTTTCTGGGACGAATCAATGAGATCGTCTACTTCCTCCCCTTCTGCCACTCGGAGCTCATCCAGCTAGTCAACAAAGAACTGAACTTCTGGGCCAAGAGGGTAAGAGTGGGGCCTGCTATGGGTGGGGATGGGACATCTGCCCACTGGAAAGCAGGGAACACTGGGCTTGAAACACCCCCTCCCAAAAGGTGGAGCACAGCGGTGTGGGGCCAGTGGCCATGGGAGCCCATAGTCTCTCACAGGCCCAGGCCTCAGGCCAGAGTGGTGAGAGATGGAAAGCACTGGGCCACATGCAGCCATGCTCCTATCTAACCTGTCTCAGGCCAAGCAAAGGCACAACATCACACTGCTCTGGGACCGCGAGGTGGCAGACGTGTTGGTCGACGGCTACAATGTACACTATGGCGCCCGCTCCATCAAGCATGAGGTGAGCACAGGTGCCTGGGAGAAGTGAGGCACCTCCACACGTCCCTCCCTGTTGCCCCAAGACCCAGTCCTGGGGCTCCCAGCCTGTCTCCCTAGAGTCTGGCTGCTGGAATTGTTCATACCTTCAGAACAAAAACACAATCTGATCAATAAAACCCCTGTCCTGGAGGGTAACCGAGTATGACCTCCCACCAGGATGGGGCACTGAATTGGGAACCTCAGAAACTGACGTCACTGAGTCGTTAGCACAGGCCTACAGGTTCTGTGTTGTTAGCCCTTTGCAGATGAGAGAACTGAAGCCAGAGTAAGTACTTGTCCATGAGTAACAGAGTGTGGCCTCTGGGCTCAGGCCACAAGCTGGCCCCGGCCTTGGCAGTGACGACCACTCCACCTACTGCCTGCAGGTAGAGCGCCGTGTGGTGAACCAGCTGGCGGCTGCCTACGAGCAGGACCTTCTGCCGGGGGGCTGTACTCTGCGCATCACTGTGGAGGACTCAGACAAGCAGCTACTCAAGAGCCCTGAACTGCCCTCCCCCAAGGCTGAGAAGCGTCCACCCAAGCTGCGGCTGGAGATCATCGACAAGGACAGCAAGACCCGCAAACTGGACATCCGGGCACCACTACACCCTGAGAAGGTGTGCCACACCCTCTAGCATCTACTTTACCTGCCTCTCCATGCCCTCAACATCCAATAAAGGCCCCTCAGCTGTGGCATGGGAACCGACCTAGCTTCCCTTCATGCCTCTCGCTCTTCTCCACCCAGCCTAAGGCCTCTTACCTCCTCACAGCCCCTGGAGGACCCCTCCTCAGCCCCAAGTCGAAAGCAGGAATTTTGCCCTCCCCTGGCCCCTTCATCGTGGGCCCCAAACCTACTAACAAGTCTCCAGGAGAGGAACTGCCCTCCACCCCTTCAAGGCAGGGAGGGGACGGAGGTCCCTTATCTCTGTCCTTCAGCATGATCCCCAAGCCCCACAGTCTCTGGAACTTTATCATGTTCCCTGGAAGCTCAGAACTATGGCAGCTAAGAACAGATCTGGCTGGAAGAAGATGGGGACCAGGCTGTGACCTGCCACCCTTTGCTGGCCTTCATGCAGCTGAGTCCCCAGAACGTCTCCACGGACAGTGGACGAAGAGTGCAGAGGCCCAGGCACAGAGGTTCTGCAGTTTAGGCCGTGGCTACCCCTTGCCCATGCCCTAAAATTCCAAGGGGAAGGGGCCCATAGAACCCTTCCCCCTTCCACCGCCCTATCATAGCTACTGCTCCTCCTCACCCTTCGTGCTGGGGTCAGGCTAGACCATGTTTCTCCAGCCTCGGAACTAGGCCAGCGTGGGCACCTCCAGGAGGAAGGCTGACTGCTCTACTCTGGGACTAAACAGCAGTACCAGATGACCAAGCAAGCTCAGCTCTGGGGGGCCTCCTTCAGGAGACGGACAACATAGATGTTGGAGAGCTGTAGGGGGAGAGGTCGTGGGATCAGGCTGTGCCCTGTCTGTACTGTCCCAGTTAAGTTAGCCTGGAATAAACAGCACCGTGTGCAGTCTGCGTCTTAGTCACTACGCACAGGGTCTGCACGCCATCCCCCGAGGGTTTTCCGAAGACCAACCATGTTTCACCCTCAGCTTAGCAGGGCACAGCGGGCGTGGTGCATCCTTTGGCACCATCTGCAGTAGCCACAATTGACCACCACCCTGTTATCCTCCCCCTGCAGGGCCGTTGTGGAACCCTCTTTTGGTGTTAGGTAGTCTCTTTCAGGAAGCAGAAAACAGGGGCAGCAATCAAAGTCCCGTGAGTGATGGAGGAATGTCATAACAACACGGTGGGTATCAAGCAGTCAGAAGTCAGGACGTGGGCTCCAGCAGATGCTCCAGCAGTCACCGTCTGGTCCCTCAAGGAGCTGAGTCTGCTGCTCCCTACCTCAGTGACTGCTCTTCTTTTTTATTATTTCTTCTTTTTTTACTTCTTATTTTGAAATAATTTAAGACTTAACAGAAAGTTGCAAAAATAGTAGAGTTCCAGATACCCTTCACCTAGCTTCTCCTAATAATAACATCTTACAAAACCATAGTATAATTATTAAAACCAGGAAATTAACATTGATACAGTACTACTAACTAATCTGTAGACATTCCAGTTTTGCCAGTTTTCCCACTGATGTCCTGTCTCTGGTCCAGGCGCCAATCCAGGATCCCGCATTGCAGTTTGTTGTCATGCTCCCTTTGTCTCCTTCAGCCTGTGACAGTTCCTCCATCTTTCTGTCCCTTTCATGACCTTGACTCTTTTGAAATGTCTAGGCCAGTTATTTTGTTGAATGTCCCTCAATTTGGGTTTGGCTGCGGTTTTCACCTGATTAGATTGAGGGTCTGCGTTTTGGTAAGACTACCCCAGAAGTGATGCCATGCCTTCTCAGTGCCTCAGACCTAGCGGGGGAGATGTTAACTTTGATCACGTGGCTGAAGCGGTGTGTGCCAGGTTTCTCCGCTGTAAAGTTACTGATTTCTCCTTTGAAATTAATAAGAACCTTATGGTGAGATACTTCAAAGCTGTGCAAATGTCTTATTTATCCTTAGAATTTTACCCACTGATATTAGTATCTCTCAATGGTCCTTGCTTACAAGTCTTCGTGTTGTATTTGCCTAGTGATGACTTTCGGTTTCATTATCCATCTGTATTAATTGGTATTCTACTGTAAGGAACAGCTATCTCTTTTCCCCAATTTACTTATTCAGTAATTTATTTATAACAGTATAAACTAATGGAAATTTGTTTTATTCTATGGGTTATAATCTGATACTAATGTAGTTAATATCATTGCTCATATTGACCTAGTTTGGCCATTGGGAATACTTTCAGGTTGGCTCCTGTGTTGTTTCAACATTGCCCCCATCATTTTTTTTTTTTTTAGCAGTGCCTTACTTTCTGACACCACAAGATGTTCCAAGTTCACTCACATTTTTCCTGTCCCAGCCCTAACATCAGCCATTTCTCCAAGCAGCTCCTGGTTTCTTTTATTCGAGAATGGTACTTAGAAACCAAGATCTGGGCACTAGGTGTGGATACTGGTACTGGAGTGTCATTGCTTCCGGGCCTCTTCAGCACACAGAGCTGGGAAATATATGTATGTATATGAACACATGCATCACACATCTGCATTTATTGTTATATCTATCCATCTGTATTTTATTAAAAGCCATGAGTTCATATTGATACCGACAATTCCAATCCAATACCACGAGGTTGTAACTGCCATTATTTTGACTTTACTATTCTTTTTCTACTTCTTTGTCTCCTGCTGTCTCTGTTTCTTCTCCTTTCACTCTTTTTAGTGTTCAGACTTCACTTCATATATAGTCCAATATAAATGTCCAATTGAGTCAGTCAGTGACCATCCTATATGGGACATTCCTACTGGATTAAGGTCTTATGCCTGGCTGTCAGTCCCTTGGTTCATTCAACTGTGGCAGGAGCAGCAGGCATGTAACTCAAAACCAGATAACTTTTGTACAAGAAAGCAGAGTGGCCACCTTACTGAGAGGAGGCAAGGGGACAGGCTAGACTCTCAGATTTCGAGGAACTTAAGTATCACTTCTTAGGATTCTTGGCTAGACCTCCTAGGTGATGTTGGACCCCTCTTATACTTCCATAGCACGCTAGGCAATACTCGGCTTGCTTGTATTACTAGTTCTGTATCTGTCTTTGTCACTAGAATGTAGGCTCCAGGAGGGCAGATACCAATTGTTCAGCTCACTGTCCTATTCCTAGAACCTGGCACAGTGCCAGCACCTGACGCATGCTCCTGGTACTTGGTGGGATGGGTGGGCCCTGTGGCAAGCACAGATCTTCACAGTGGGTCCTAGGATAGAACAGTATCATTTGTTCACTGAGCACATGCTTATTTGTCATGTGCTTGTGGCCAGGCAGTAGAACCTGCCAGGACTGGACCCCTGAGCAAACGGGGCAGAGTAAGACCCAGACACCTTATTGAGTATATTGAGTACCCTGGAATGCATGAGACTGGACTTGGAAATGAAAATGTACCATCTGTATTTTTCTTGTTTTTTATTTTTTAATTATTATTTATTTGTTTTATTTTATTTATTTTTAATTTTTGAGGAAGATTAGCCCCGAGCTAACATCCACCGCCAATCCTCCTCTTTTTGCTGAGGAAGATTGGCCCTGAGCTAACATCTGTGCCCATCCTCCTCTATCTTATATGTGGGATGCTGCCACAGCATGACTTGATAGGCAGTGCATAGGTCCACACCTGGGATCTGAACCGGCGAACCCCGGGCCGCCAAAGCAGAACGTGCAAACTTAACTGCTGTGCCACTAAGCCAGCCCCAACACCTGTATTTTTCAAAAAGAAAACTTAAAGATGTGTAGTGATTGTTTTAGAAATTTAGAAAAAATCCATGTTCAAATGATAAGAAAATAGAAAATGGACCAATAAAGATAAAACCCGAAGTAAACAAAGTAGGAAACCAAAAAAAAAAAAAAAAAGAGGACAAAGGATGAATAGAAAAATGATTCTTTGAAAACACTAATAACGTAGATAAAACCTCCTCAGCCTAATTAAAGAAAAAAGAGCAAAGAAACACAAGATTAGGAATGAGAAATCAGACATTACTATATATGTGGAAGAATTTAAAGTATTTTTAGGAGAACTCTATGGCGACAAATTTGAAAACAGCAAATAGATAATTTCCTGGCACACAGTGACCCAAGACGTAGTTTGAATAGACCAATAAATTACCAAAGAAGAAACTGCAAAGTTTTTAAAATTTTATCCTTTAAAAGATTGTATCCTTTTATTTAAACTTTTTAATTGAAATTTGTATGGAAAAGTGCACAAATAACAAGTGTACAGTTCAATGAATTGTCACAAAGTGACCACCACCACTGTAGCCATCACCCAGCCCAAGTAACAGATGAGTTGTGATGTTTAATTGTATACACTGCTTCAGACCATGGGAAAAGATAGAAAGATGCTCAGTTGATTTTTAAATGCCAGCATGAGATTCATACTCAGACCTGATGAAGTGCAAAAAGAGTGTCATAGCCTGGTCCCAGCTGTGACTGTAGATGCGGAAGTTCCAAATAAAGTTGAATTGTACACTGTGATCATGTAAGGTTGGTTTCAGCAACACAAGCCTCAGTATCAGGAATTTTATTAATATAATCCAGTATATCAAGAACTTGACTATTTAAATGTCTATAGATTAATATTAATGTTAATTTTCTTATTTTGATAGTATTTTTATATGTTATGTAAGAGGATGACCTTGTTTTTATAAAATATGCATTGAAGTATTTAGAGGTTAAAGATAAAGCGAATTTGCAGATGTTTCAGGAAACTCTATATATACACACGCACATACATATATATGTATATACACCCACAGAATGATAAAAATAAAAGTCAAGTGTTAAAATTTGGGGAATCTGAGTGAAGGGTATACAGAAACTCTTTGTATTGTTTTTGCAACTTTTCTGTAAGTCTAAAATCATTTCAAAGTAAAATTTTTTAAATGAGGGAGATAAAACATTTTATCAGTATATGCTGAAAAAGCATTTGATAAGATTTTACAGCTTTAAGTATGATTTGAAAAATTAAAGCTCTAAGTAAAAAGAAAAGAAACTGTTCATCGAAAACCAGTACCAAACATCCTTTTTCATGGTAAATATTAAAGTCTGAAATAAGACAAGGTTCAACACTGCTTTGAAAATTCCGGTGAAAGCAATTAGGCAAGAAAACTAAATAATTGATATAAATGTTGGAAAATAACAAATTATCTTGTTTTGCTGATATATGACTGTATATTTAGGAAATCCAAGAGGCTATAACCTATTAGCTTTAATAAGGAAATTTGGTGTCTGAATAAAAGATAAATGTGCAAAAATCAATAGCTTTTTTCTATTCTAGCAATAACCAACTAGAAACAATAAGAAAGAAAAAGTATTCCATTCACAATTGCAACAAATAGGTGTATATATTTGCTTATGTACACCTGAAATGCCTCTGGAAGAGAGGGGACTAGGGTAGAGAGGGGATAGCAATGAAAGGGAAAATTCACTGTCTTCATTTTTATACTTTTAAATTTTGAATCATTAATTTGTTACCTATTCAAAATTATAAAATACTTAATAAATTTCACAAAAAAATCATATTTAAGAGCATAAAACAAAATCTAACAAATGAAAAGACATACCAGATTCTCGGAAAGAAAGACAATATCATTAAAATGTCGATTCTTAATATATAATTCAGTGCAAACCTAATTAGACTCAACAACGTTTTTAATAAAATTAACTAAAGTCGTGTTACACTGCGTTGTGCAGAGGTGAAGCCATGTGAAGCTACTGTTTTATGGATCTAGGCTCTCAGGAGATACAGTTACTACTCTCAGTTCCTGCTATCCCATCCTGATAGTGTGTGAACTACAGAATGAGTAAGTTAACTACCATCAACACACACCCGAAATACAATTATGAGACAAAAGAAAGCGAAGGGTTACTGCCTGTAACTGCAGTTTAGAGACCATATGGGTGTGGAGAAGAGGAGAAAGTGATGGAAAATGAAACTCGAGAGGCAAGTTTCCTGATTCCATAGTGCCTTGAATGCCATGCTAAGAGAATGAAATGTGCACATTTGTATTTAAAAAGACCCTTTGAGAAACCAGGAGTGAAGCAAAAAGCCTGCCAACTGGGAGAAAATATTTGCAGTCACATATCCGACAAGGGGTTAATCTCCAAAATATATGAAGAATTCAAACAACAACAACAAAACAAACAACCCGATCAAAACATGGGCAGAGGATCTGAACATTTTTCCAG